CAACTTCCCATTTCCAGTTAACTGTGTCACACAATTTATACTGGGCATGGAGTTCTCCTTCCCAGTTTTTTTAACCAGGAACTGATCCTGGCCCAGCCCCAAGGTCGGGCTTGGAATTTCTGACTCCCTCAGCCTCAGCCAGCCCTGGGACACAAACAATTGAGGACATGACAGGAAAAAGCTGCAGGAGAAGATAAATGCACAGGAAATTTGCTGAATACTGCAGCCACAAGGTGGTTCATGTGATAAAACTCCCCAGAGGCTGTGGGGAAGGGCTGAACCTTGACTCATTCATTTCCCTCTTTTCAGCCAGAAAACACCCCAGGATGAGACCTACAAAAATCAGGAGGCAACGTGGAGAGGAGCAGGAGCTGAAGGCAGAGCAGGATGTCTGGAGAACATCAGGAGCAGAGGCTGGAGCAGAGATGGACACAGAGGTGGACACCAGGGAGGGACACAGAGATGGACCCCAGCCCTCCACCAGCAGGTTTCCATGCCAGCCCTGGATCCCAACACTGGGCACAAATCCACCCCGTGGAGCTGCTCTGATGCTCCAACACAGCCCTCAACCCCCAAAACCCAAAACCACCCCAAGATCTCCTTCCCAAGGGACAAGGAACACCCAGCACTCACTGGTTTGGTGGAGGAGGATGAAGATGGTGAGACGAGCAATCCAAAATATGTCCATGGATGTCCAGAAACAGAGAGGATTTGGGGCATCAGCACCCAAAAATGAGCACCACAAAGAGGAAGAAGAAAAGTGCCTTGGTGGAGAGGAGGTGGCTTTAGACGTGGTTTGTGACAAAAATGGAGCAACAAGGAAGAGCAATTCATACTCACACAGAAATTTGTTGTGTTTAAAAAAAACCCACTCTGTTTTCAAGGGAAAAGAAGGAAACCCAAGGTGTTTAAAACAGAGCCCAACCCCGTTCCCAAGGAAAGATGAGGGTGCCTGCTGGGACAGAGAGTGTCACCGTGGCCGTGTGTGACAAATGGCTCAGGGGCTGGAGAGCGTTATCCCAGAGAATGTCATGGTGCCCACGGAATTGGTGCCCATGGAATTGGGGCCTCCAGGGCATCCCTGGGGAGCGAGGCTGAGCCCAAATCCTGGAATGGTTTGGGTGGGAAGGGGCCTTAAAGCTCCCACCAGCCCAGGCTGCTCCAAGCCCTGTCCAGCCTGGCCTTGGA